GCAGCTTGGCAGCTCTGCCAGCCTCGTTCGCCCGGGAGGCGACGCTGACGCTGAGCGCCCTGGAGCTTCCCCTGCTGATGCCGCCAGCTGCAGGGTCGTGGGTATAACTGAGCGCCAAAATTGGAACAAAAAATCCAGTCAGAAACCCAGTAATGCTCTTGCATTCTCCCCAGTACCTCTTTGACAGAATGATGATGATTGGGCTGAGAAACTATCAAGAGAATCCCATTTACAGGACTTTTCCATTTATTTACTTACTTGTCACAGCAAAACTGTTCTCAAAAGCTGCATCTCATTTTTTTATTTAAAAAACTTTACAGAGAAGAACCTTCAGTTTACTCACCTGCCCCCGTCCTGCTGCAAGCACGTTTGAGCAGTGAACTTGCCGTTGGCAATGCTGGCCATCTGGCTATAGGCCTGGAAATGAGAACCGGGCGCCACGTCTCCAGGCACTGCAGAAGAAAAAGAAAGGCATTATACTTAAATATTGAAACTTGGTACCTTTTAACACGCTTCACGCAAGGAGTTCGGTCAAGGCACTTTCCAACCTTTCATTAAGTGAATCTCGAGATCCCACTGTGAGGCAAGTGATTAGCTGTGCTTTGGCTTATAAAATGTGTACCTTCTCATTAAAGAAAAGAACACACAGCTGTAAGATTTCAATTTCAGAGAAACTCCATCCTCTGAAAAAGTACTAAAGAAAAGATATTATCTGAAGATCATAAGCAGGATACAATTAGAAAACCTTTTAATGTATTTTTATTCCTGGTATTACTCCTCTAACCCAAAAGACAAATCTCAAACCAGTCCACCTTTCTTGCATACTTACCGTACAAAGTCGGTTAAGCTTTAAAATTTTGGTTTCTCATACACTTTGGCCTTTTGCATAGATCAGCTTCTACAAATGCCATTGCTGATGTCCCCGAAAGAACAGGCTCCGTCTTCCCCACGTCCCCAGTTAGGGGTCCCCCCGCGCAGGGGTGCTGGGGCCGGGGCCGTCCTGGCTCTGCCCTAGCTACGTTCCCCGCAAACACCCCTGAACACCCCGAATCCCGGTTCACCGCAGGGAACCGACACGCGCCGTGGTTAGCGCTGCCAGGACCCGCTCGGTGTCGTACCCGGAGGCTCCCGGCTGGCGGCGGCGCTGGCGGCGGCCGCGGCACGGGCGTTCGCAGCCAAGCTCGACAGAGCCTTTATGGCTTCTGCTTCGGCCTCGGTGATGATTTCCAGCATCCCAAACTCATTGAGACAGAACTGCAGGCAACAGGGGAAAAGCAGGCACGTAAGAAACAGGGACTGGGCAGGGGGGAAGAGGATTCCCTGGGAAAGAAATAGGTTCGGGACAGAAACATCTCTACATCCAAAAGCAGTAAAAAAAACCCACAGCAACATAGCTCTCCCGCAACACAGCAGAAATGAGCCTAAAAGCCTGAGTGCTGCATTTTGCTGTCAAAGGACATTCTGTTTATTCCGTCCGTGCTCCCCTCCTGCCCGCAGCACCCCGGCACGAGCTGCACCCCCTGCCCCAACAGAGGAGCAGCAAAACTCGGCGCACGCCAGCCCAGCAAAGGCCCTGGAGCTGCCCCCGTGCCCCCTCCGCGCTGCTTTGGGGGGATTCCTGGTTTTCCCTGCACGGCTCCAGCCCTCGCAGAGCCCCGGGTGGCTCCCGGGCGCCGGGATCAGGGCAGCCCCGCGCACGGACACGGACGGTTCCCAGGGCTGCTGCCGCGTGAGGTCCGACGCAGCCCCCGGGACTCACGGGGAAACGGCGCTCGTGCCGCGCCGGGCTGAGCGGGACATCGTGCCCCACGGAGCTGCATCGCCAAGACTGGGAATTGGGAAGACCAGGCCCTAAACGCCTACTGCAGCAGCAGGTAATTTTTCAAAACGAATAACCGCCTTCCTCGAAATTCCAAATTGGTTGAGCGGGGAGCGACAGGGGGCACAGGACAGCCCCAGGCTTTCCGAAACGCCTCCGGACCGTCGGCACGTGTTGGGAGCTCCAGCCCCGCGTGTCTCCGTGCAGCTGGGGACCCTGCGCAGGGCAGGGGCGCTCGGCGGGGTTCGTCCCCGCGGTCCTTACCCGGATGTCGCTACCGGGCAGCGTGCCGATGCCGTCCTCCCAGCACAGGGCGCTCATGACGTCGAAGGCGGCCGCGGCGCTCGGCCCCGCGGCGCTCCCCTCCATCGCCCCACGGGAACCTTAGCTTCCCGGGTGGTGATAAGAAAGAAAACCAGGCTTTGGAAAGAGGCACAGAATAAAACGTCGCTTACGTTTCAGGAAGGGGTTTTTAGAGTGACGCTGGTTTGGGAAGATGGGGGGAAAACATCCTTGCGTTTTTCCCCAAGACACTTAATAAAAAGTCAGGTGTTAAGCACATATGTGCAGTCTGGCCATAAAAAGGTGAGAAAGATGCAACAGTTGCTTGGTGCGGAGGATGTTAGGGCCCGGTGAGTTCCCAGGCAAGACGCTGGGTAACAGGATCTTTGCCTTGGGGCTTACAAGTATCCATTTCTAATTCCCGGTGCTGCACAAACTGGAAGACAGTATCCAAGGGCCCGAAGTCGCCAGAGGAGCGGCACTTTTACTTGACTTTCCTCTATATTGGGACCTCGTATCCAACTGCTGAACTATTATTGTGGTAGGTACCCGACAACGACTCACCATAGATTAACTGTATGTTGTTGTCCTTTAAACATAAATGGAATATTTCCAGCTTCTGAATGTAGATGTTGGCTTATTTTCTATGTCTTTGTTTATTTTTAAATCACAGCCTTGCCTCGAGCTGGCCGCTCTGCCAGCGAACAGTGTTCGTTTTGCAAAGGCAGAGCCCAGGGGACTCCCTTTGGGAAGGGGTCGGTTCTGCTCCGGGCTGCCCACGCGGGACGCGGTGGGTCTGAGCCCGCTCAGCAGCGGGCTGGGCACTGGCAGCCCCTGTCTTGGGGCATCCCAACCAAATCCCTGCAGGAAACG